ACCCATAAGCTCTTGGTCGGCTCCTCATCCATCCCCAGGCAGAGCTCTATGCACTCCAGCTGGTCATTGACATAGAGGGCGACACCCCCTCCTTGTCTCCCCTTAAAGTGATACTGTAATCTAGACTGGTCTGAGGATCCTTCCCTTGGAGGAGAAAGCCACCAACCAACATGAGTAAAAATTCATTTACCAGTTTGTATTTTATTGGGAGTTTCCAACTTTATGAAAATAATTTTCTCAATGTATACTTTATTGTCATATACAACAAGCAGGGCTTCTAGACTAACATTCAGAATAGTTTATCCTCACTATCTAAAATTTAATAGAGAATATTCAAGCCTGGACCATTCTCCCACTGTGACTTTAGATTTACACTCATGTAGCCATCTGCGATATTCACAACTGTTTCCTAAGATACCTTCCTGATGATAAAAAAGCACCTGTACTACAGGCAAGTCTTAATCCGATACAGTAATTTGGCATTTGAGAGCAAGTGACAGAAGGACAGCACAACAAGAGCTCAAAGACATACGCACATAAAAAGACATTCTCCGAGGAAAGAAGACTCCCTCCTAAATAACAAGTTGACAGCCAAGAGCAAAAGCATTTCCATACAGATTTTGACATTTCAGCTGCTTTATTGTAAAGCTTATTGTAACTCAAAGACATAAAAGATCATCCACGCTCAAGGTTTTGCTTTCACTAAGAGCTGTTGGTTAACATTAACAGCAGTAAGGAGAGTATTGCCAGCTCTAGTTCATCAGTTAATAACTAATATGTTTAAAGTAGAACCAGAAGTCTAAGCAGCTAATTAAAATGGAAATGGAAAATTTCATATACTTAAAATGTGGAGTCATGCAAAAGAGCTTTGGAAGATGAGCAATAAAATACGCTACTATTTAGATTTAAACCAATCAGCTAAAGTACTCTTGTAAGAAGAGACAGCATCCTGGGGCTTTTACACAAGCCTATCTGAAAGAAGCATAGCTTCACAGTCCCAACTAGGGGAAAGTCCCCAGACAGCATTAAAACTTTTGGACAACTTTATCAGACTGGCTTTTGCATCTCTGACTCAAAACTATGCTTGCTTTATTAGAGCCACAAAGAAAAGATCCTGATTTTTAAACACACATGCATGGGTCCACTTGTTAGGGCACACATGTACTCTTACCCCACTCCACCTTATCAAAGTTGGTTTAACTAGTAAAAGGGACACGAATGGGCTACTCCGCACAAGTAAAATTGACAAATATTCCTCTGAAATAGCAGACAATTATTTAAACTAAAGCCAAATCCTCCCGAAAAGTTATTTATCAAGGTTGCAAATAGGCCCACAGAAGTGGCCAGGAATCCCTCCACTAGATATTGAACATCCCCCTCCTCAAACCCACAAGCACCCCATCAGCAAACAGACAATTTAAAAAAAACTAGACACAGCTCTTGCCACTATCAGTTTAAAGTCTTCTTGCAAACAATGTTTTTCCCCTCAAATCCTAAATTTCACAAAATTTCAGTACAATCTTTTCTCTAGGTTAGATTTAGGTGACTTGAAAAAGATTAAGGATAAAACTATTATATATGCTAGCAAACATCAGTTGGGCCCCCATATTACTGTTAGGAAAGATCCCCTTATGGGAAAATCTGAAAAACCTTTTGCATTATTTCTAGAAGAGCACTTCACACACACAGCATAGCGAAGAATAAGGCAGAATAAACAATGGTTTTAGGCCCAGAAGTGTAAATGAAGATTACTAAAGTCAAACAACACAAAAGGGGACTCAAGCTCTCAAAGAATATCCATCTGAAACTGCCAGTCATCTTGTTTATGATCTCGTTTAAGTGCATTTCAAGCAAAGCCATCAGTAGTTGAGTCTGTTGGACCGCTTAAAAAAAAAAAACACAACAAAAAAACCCCAACCCAACCCTGCAATTAGTGTTTGCTCCACTGCTGTGCCAGGATGTGTCAGTCTGCAAGAAATGCAGGCTTGCTTCTACTGACTATGGTGCAGCTGACTGCACTCAGTTAGCGTAATGATTCTAGAGATCATTTATAGCATCGCGGACCAACAAAATAATGTTACAGGCTGAGGTCTGGTACCAGGTCAAAAGGCACATCAAGCAGTGAAGTCCTCCAGTATTTTCAGCACAGAACACGGACCTCAGACATTCCTCCTAACTGTGCTAGCAGACCTATAAACAGCTTTATTATAAAACCTCTGTTATGGAAGGTAGTCTTCTTCCAACCTCTGTACGAATGGAAGAAAAAAAAATTCTCATTTACGTGGTATCTTCTGATCAGCACTCCACATATGCATGGCTGTACACAAAGCTAGACCCTTAAAATACAAAATGTATGGAAACCTGTGTTTTACCCAGCTATTTCCTCAGCAATAGCTTCTTCCCCCTTGGTAACCTGCACATTTTCTTTCCCATTTTTTGAGATTTCAGTAATAGAATTAGTTTGTAATAATTTGTCCTTTAGGAAATTACAGGAGGTTTAAGTCAAAATACTAAGTTTATATTAAAGTGGTAATTTAACAGTGATCTCTAGCACACAGATTTCTGTGGGCATTTGGTGCCTGAAGCATGTTGCCCTACACTGATAAATAGGGAGATTCACATCAATAATTCTGTGAATGCTGCCATGCATATGGTATGCTTATACCATATGTGGCATGTTTATAAGTAGCTGCAGTTAATCGGATGACATTCACCACTACTGAAGAGACAAAGGTGTTCAGTTATTAGGTTGTAACTGGAGTTGTGGCACTCTGCCCTATGCCACCATTGAAACTGCTGCCAGAAAAGCCTCAATAACAGCATCACTAAACGAAGCGTTTGCTTGTCCAGTCTAATCCAAACAGCTTCACATTTACAGCGATCTTGGTAAGCAACAACTGGGAAAGCCCAGAACTACTTGAAGCATTTCCATCAGATCTTAAACGGTGTAAGGATGTCTCAGAATACAAATACACAGGAAAAGACAGTTCGCGCCAGAGGGGGGAAAAAAAAAAAAGTTACCAGCCTTGATTTGTCAAGGACAAGGGCACATCCTGTGCCAGCAGGCTCAACTCTGCTGCCCCGAAGCCATTCTGCTCCATTTACTGGAGTACATTGGTTTATATAAGCATGTTCTAAATACAGAGAGGAAGCTTTCTACAGTTTGAACCTGAAAGACATTTTTGTAGTATTATGCAAACAGGGGTAAAATATGCAGATTTAAGAGGAAAAGCTGTAGAAAAGGAAAAGAAAGATAGCTCATGTAAGAGCACACCAGAACAGCCGTACAGAACAGAGGTAACATCACTCTTGGAAGAAAAGCAAACGTTGTAAGTCATTAGCATAACAGACAAACCTTTTCTTCTGAGCTGTAATTTGTGCTGTAACTAGCATCAAAAATACTAGCAAATGTCAGCGATAGCAACACTTACCTCACTCCTATAAGTAGTGCTATCAGCATTGAACAAATAGGATCTGCTATCATTAGACCATAGTTCTGCATCAATATAGCAGATATGATTACACCAATACTTCCGAGCGTGTCTGCAACAATGTGTAGAAATACACCTGTAAGAGATTAATTGATATCATTACAACTTGGTATTCTGAAAGCTAATGGAGTATTTCAAAGACAGGTTACGGAGAAGAGTTGCAAGAACTAGATAACATGATTTATGCTTGTTAAATTTGTGGTCAATTTTTGGTTAAACACACAGAAAGTGATCACAGGATTTCAACATATTTGTAGAATATAGAGAATTTGAAGAATTTACATTATTTTCTGCACTTAGCAGTAAGGGGTGTTTCATGGCATGGCTATCAACTTAAGCAGTGATTAACAGATGTAGCTAGATTTTTTTTTCATTCAATATCCACCCATATTACAGTAAAGAAACTCATGTTCCCTGATGCCTACAGACAACGATAAGCACTGTGTAAGATGGAAAGACTGTTAACAGAAACAGCTCTGTAAAGCTCTGAAAGATGCTAATGTTTCAGTGACAATACCTGTAGAAGTTGTCTGGTAAGGAAATCCAAGACAAATGATTTTGAGAATTAAACAATACTGCGGACATGAACAACTTCACTTTTATTTTGAAGAATAACACACTACCTTAAAAGACAAAGAAACAAGCACTTTGCAGCTAGCTAAAATTTAGCCTTTGGAGCTCCCTGCTGGCAATGACGGGAACAGTCATTCAGAAACAGCTTTTTTAAGACAATTCTCCATACTCAGATAATCCCTCCTCATAAAAACAACGCACAACTATAAATCAGCTCTTTAGTGGTTTTTCCAAGTCTACATTTGTACTGGGTCCGGCTGGGATGGAGTTCGGTTTTCTCCATAGCAGCCTGCACGATGCTGTCGTTTAGATTTGTGACTAGAACCGTGTTGATAACACACCAACGTTTTAGCTATTGCCAAACAGCGCTTGCACAGCATCAAGGCCTTCCGTTCCTCACTCTGCCCCCACAGCAAGTAGGGCGGGGTGGGCAAGATGCTGGGAGGGGACACAGCCAGGACAGCTGGCCCCAACTGACCAGAAGGATATTCCATACCATATAACATCACACTCAGCAATAAAACTGAGGAGCAGTCTTTCTAAGTCAGCAGTTGCTCAGAGACTGGCCAGGCATTGATCTGCTGGTGGGAGGTGGTGAGCGATTGTCTTTGCATCACTTGTTTTTTGTTTGTTTTTTTTTTTCTTTTTTTTCCCCCCCTTCATTTACTAAACTGCCTTTATCTCAATCCAAGAGTAGTTCTCGCTTTTACTCTTCTAATTCTCTTCCCTGTCCCACTGCAGGAGTGAGCAAGCAGCTGCTGGGTGCCTAGTTGCTGGCCGGAGCCAACCCACCGCAGTATTGAAAAATTAAAATAAAATTATATAAAATTGAGTCTTTTTAATATGCTTCAATTAAAACGTGCCTTTCATGAAAAGACTGACTTTCAAATATCTTCTACTGAAGTACTGAGTATACATATATGTAATATGGTATACTATAAATTCTGGAAGAGGTTGAAAATGTTCCTTTTCAAAGACTACAGACAAGCCAGAAAATCATCCAACTAGAGAAAACAGTATGTACATTTGGGTATGCCAAATAATTGCTACCTCTTACATTACATTATTTTCTCCCTCTTGAATGCTGCAAAAAAATTAATCAAAGCTCAGATTACTGATAATGAGGATGTCAGTTTTATTTACACTAATGCTCAGGAGGTCATGGACTCCAAGCAATTTAGAGTGAATTACTATCTTGTCTAAACCAACTGTAATAGCTTGATGAGATGCAAGTTTTAAGCTCAGGTGCCCTTTAACAACTATATCAATCTGCATTTTTCAAATACATTCTATCTTAATAATACTGTTTTTCACTTTCCAGAGCATACATTGCAATTAGGCTCCTAAAGTTTCTGCTTTTAACCACTCTTTCCTAGATTTTTATTATTTGACTTTTCAGCATCAGTAACAGAAGCTAAATCCCAGCTTTTGGGATCTCCCTTTTAAACTGTGTTGACGCTGCATTACATTTAGACTTCAGTGAGTGTCTCAATGCCTAGCCATGCACAGGGTATGGCACTGCTCTGTTTACAGGCGGAAGGGGACTTCATAAAATAGCTCCTCTAAGAAAAATGTAGGGTTTACCCGGAGGCACCATCTGAAACAGATGTGTGACAAACAGTCACAGGCAGGCAGACCATGATAAAACTAATAAACCACTATACTTATTTTCATCATACCTTGTAAAATCTGTTTGCTGGATCCAGCCATCCCTTCAAGAGAATGGTCATCTGTGAAGACAATTATTGGCATATTAACCTACACAAAGGCTCTCTCTAGTGGTATATTCTGTTATGGTCTTCCTTTCTGAAATTTCTTGAACAGACAAGCTGTTCACAATGACTAGCTTTTACTCTAGCTATTGTTTACTGCAGCAATTAAAAGTCTTAAAACACTTTTTTTAAAAAAGAAAATAGCACTTTACATAATAGATTTTATATATGTATACATAAAAATAAAAAGATCAACATTTTTTTTTAATGAAAACAAACTGAGAAGTAAGACCTTTCTTATATAATAAGAAAAAAAATAAGGCCCCCTCAAGAATACAAGCCATACACACAAACAAGAAGAGTAAGGTCAAATAAATTTGCTAACCAGAAATATTTCACTTAAGCAAGCATTTATACCTATTGTAAAACAACAAGGATAAGACTTGGAGAAGGTAGAACTAAGTCAAAAAATCCTCTCATCCAAGCAGATGAATGCCTCTGCGGAACACATCAGAAAGATTTTAAGAAAAACTTGTTAAAGGATAGCAAATGACTTCCAGTGAAGATATATAATAATTATGCAAAAGTTGATTTCAGTATCAAATTGCACAAAACAGATAGCTACATTTGCTGCTCCACTGGGGTGGGGGGCATGGGGAGAGCAAGGAAGAGGCAGGAGGAGGGAGCTCCTGCTTTCCAACCAAACTCCAGGAGAACACTCGGAAAACAAGCACCAATTTTCTACTAAAAATAGCAAGGAAGGTACACATAAATCTTTTTATACTCTTTGTCACCTCCTGCCTGCAAGTTACCACACTATTCCCTGCTCTGTATGGGCACATTTTCAGTCACATCAGATTCTAGTTTATGGCTTAGGCAGGAAGGATTGACAACCCTGCATTACAATAAGGCTTTCACTTGCATTGTTTCAAATAGGTAGCAACCACACTGTCTCTTCTCCCATAGTGAAAGCTACCGATCATATTTTGCATGGATGTCTCTTCACAGATTGTTTGCCTTTCTAGAAAAGATTTAAGTGCAGCTAAAATACCAAGTACTTTTTTCATAACCAGCTTTAAAACAGATTACAATTATACAAGACAGGGAAAATCTTATATTTGAGATCCCAAACCAAGTATGACATATCAATCCCTAAGTACCCAAAGTAAAATTGCTTGTTCATCTTTCCTAATATCTTGATCTGTAAAATTATTCAAATGAAGAACACTAGCAAAGCAGCTTAACTTGTCTATTGATTTTAATGAAAAATTGAAACAAAGCACTCGATAACTAATTTCACTATATTGCTATAGCATACATCTGTTTTATCTTTTGCCAACACATAACATCACAATGAACATTCAAAAAAATGCAGGTAAAGCAAAACCTTTAAAAACTAACACTGAACTTACTGCAAGTGAAACAGCACTTACCAAAATGAGCCACAAAACATGGTGGTGGCGTAGCATACCACACATTTAGTGAAACTACTTCCGTGTATGCTCGCAACAAGCTGCCAGCACCCTCTCTTTTTTTTCAGTAAATCATTAATAGCAAATTTAAATTGAGTCAAGATGGTCTGTGACATTAACTAAGTACTTACCATGACAATAATCCTGACCATGAGAGTGTCCATGGCTATGGCCACGATCATGAGTGTGTCCATGGGCATGTTTATGTTCATGGCTGTGACCATGACCTCCGTGACTGTGTCCGTGGCTGAGACCACCATTAAATAGGGAATGGCTGTGTTCATGCCCTATAAACAAATATCACCATCAGAGTATAAATTTAAACGTTGAATAAAAGTATGCTTACATTTGTTTCTAAGCTACTCGAAACCTATTCATGTTTTAGGTCATGTTAAGGTATGGCTTTAAGTAAGTTAAGAAAATTAACACAAGCTGTTTGTCATCTAAATCTATGCTGTGCAGCTGTGTAATACATACCTGATTTGAGAAGTCAAGTGCTTTTATACATTCTTACTTTGAGACAAGTTGTGCTACACTTTTAGTACAATTTGGAAAATGTACACATAATTAGATACAAGCACATTAAAAACAGCTGTTTTAAGAAACCAGAAATCGGCTATCATTCACACGTTAAAAATTCAAGCTTAAATTGCTGCTTAAAGACCAAAGACTATTTTCTGCCATCAGTCTGTATCAGTTTATATGTTAAGCTGAAAGATATACCAATTAGCTTTGCAGAAAAAAACCCCAAACAAAATGTTTACCATATATATTTAGGCAAATAAATTCTGCATTCAAATTCAAAAGACACTAAGTTGAGAAGCACCTGAAGCTGAATCATCCCATACTTAAAATTGGGTTCAGACACTGTTTTGTAAATTTTCCAGCCAAGACCTCACTTAACTCCAGCTTAATTTTGTCCAAAAGACACTCTGCAAATCACTTCCAATAAGGTGCAGAAGAGTGCATGTTCCAGAAAGCAGATTCTGGCATGCTAGGTCTTCCAGTTAATGGATATTAAATGAGAAGTACGGTAGTGACATACTAGGGCTAGTGATAAAACATAAAAGTCAATATTGCAACAAGTCACATACACATTTGGCTAGGATTGCCACTAAAAAGACATTAAAATTTAATCGTGGAGTTCTCATTGGAAGATTATAAGGTCCTGGAACACAGGGTGCCAAGAAAGGAAACAGTACTGAAAATTATAGACATCCTACCAGAGCCATGTGAATGCCCATGACCTCCGTGTTGAAAAACAAATATTCCTATAAGATTTACAATGAATCCTAGTATAGAAACAGGAAGAAGTCTCTCATGATGCACGTCAGGAGGCTCCAGTGCTCTCTAAAAAAACCAAAAAAACCCAACAAACCAAGAAGCAAATGTAGAGTTCTACAATCTCTTTACATTATTAAAAGGCACTGAAAATACTGCTTAGATACAGGAGCATTTTCATACAAACAGGCATATATAAAGACATAATTAGAAATTACTCAGGACTTACAGTTTTTGGGATGGTACACAGACTAATTCTTACTGTCTGAAGCTGAAGTTTTATTATTAAAGCTGTGAAAGTATAGTATAATATTCTGATAGTCTAGCTAACTTTTATCATAAAATTTCATTATGCTGTGGGATGTGGCTCAATACCATATGAAAACATTCAAGTTTGTTGTCATACATGGATTACCCGTCATCCAAACAACTTCCAAGAGTCTAGAACATCATTTCTTCCCTTCCCCTTAGAAGAGTGAGGGGATGAGGGGAATGAAATGAAGACTGAGAACAAATTTGGCATTTTTCAAAACTTCTGAAATCTAGATTTTTTTTTTAATTCTTTTTTACCCTCCTCTCTTTGGAAGTTTCTTTTCAATGAGACATTACAGGCCTAACACAATTTGGATCTGAAGCTAAGTGTTGCAAGAGTGAACATAATCAATTTCAATAATTTTATCCCCATTAAATATGCTCTACAAATAGAAACGTGACAGTTAATAGTGCAATTGACTTCACAACATACCTCAACACCTTCAGAAAAAATGAAGAATGCTGTAAAGATGAGGAATAAACCATTTACAAAACCAGCAAGTACTTCTGCTCGAACATACCTGCAAGAAACAAAAAAGCAACAACAGGTATTACCACCTCCATTTAAATGCTGAAAAATAAGAGTGGAACTTAAGAGACTGGAGTACAATCTCGTAGTTCTCAAACAGTTGTATTACACAGAGATTTGCTAAATGGAAGGTGCAATATATAAACTACATTTTAAATATATGAAATTCACTATGTTGTATTTTGACAGAAATTACTTGATCTAGATCAGCCATTACCTGATCTAGATGAAAGAAAACTTTCAAATACGTCAAAATCTTCCCACTTAAGATCATCTCTACTGATAGTTATGGTATAAACAGATATTTGGAAGCCACAAAGTAAGATAAGCATGCGAGATGTAATCGAAGTCTGCTGATGTAAAATTCTGTTTAATATCAAACAGCCATACATTAATCTGCTCCCCCTCTAGTAGGGGGATTTTTAGTAAAAGTTTTAAGTAGAAGTTAATTACTTCAGCTACTAAATTTTTCCAATAAAAAACAGCCAGGTTAGAATAACATGCAATTCCAATGTAGCAAACATCAGACTTAATAAATTGTGGCTGTTCTCTAATAAATGGAACACCAGCTGTTTAAATGCAGAGCAGTAATTAATACAGAACCTGCTTTCATTGCAATTAGTTCGTGGTACAATCAATTCTTCCTAAATTGATTTCTAGGCACACTGGAGTTTCCACCTTAATTAAACAGTGCTTTAAGTGTCAAACTACATGACCCAGGCTTAGGCAAGACAGCTGAAGCTAAATGCTGACATTCAGGTCAGTAATGCTATGGGGAATGCAGCAACCCATGTTACAGCTCATTTGCTGTTAATTAATCACTATCACCAATTAATATTGTATCACCAGTATTGTTTTATAGGGCACAACTGCAATGTGCAAGGGAACCAAGTGCCCTTCAAACAGAACCAGCTGCAGCAGCTGTATCCACGAAGGGCGGTACGGAATGACATACCTCAGCCTTGAGGATCTGCGTTAGTGGTAGCCACAGCTGTTGAATCCTGCTGGTTCTGAGAAGCATGGCTTATAATCTCAGGTGCAGCGTCACTGAGACTTAGCTCCTTTCAGTTGTAACTTTCTGTTCCAAAGAAGGCATGGGGCACCAGGAGTCCAAGATATCTGAGATTCCCTATAACGCATCTCACTGCGCTGTGAGGACAATCCCATGATGCGGCTGCTCTTACTTCACTGGTGCCACAAACACATGACAATGCAGGGCCACTTTCTGCTGCGTAACTTGTTTCCACTAGTATGATCACAGAGATCTTAGAAGTGATAAACCTGCTCCCCAAAAGCAACGCCTTCACATTTTTACTGTTTCTAGGGGGATATTAACTTAAAGGTTTACATAACTCACCTTAAAAACCCACCCTTTCAACATAGCTTTTCCATGTTCTGCAAAAAAAGGTTTTGTTCATACAGTGAAAAATTACCACCTAGACATTTACTAAAATACATTAAGGTAACAGCCTGAAGTTTCTTACCCATATGAGAAAGCATCGTTTGACCTCCATTTTGAAATAACCGAAGCTGCTAATCCAGCCAATAGAGCAGTACAGTCAAAAAACATATGAAAAGAATCTGATATTAGACCTAAACTGGAAAAGAACAGGAAAAAAAAAGTGTTATGTTCCATATGCTACATGTTGAGTATGAAAAAAACAGCATTTAATCTTTTACACACTAGCAGAATACACTGTGTGTCTAAGCTTCAGACGTGGTTTTGCCAGCACAGAGGAGAAACCCACACTAGATCACCAATACAAATATGATGACAAAACTGCTTTTGTCAGCTTAGGGGAGGCACTTTGGAAGAGCACTTGGCAAAAAATCCTCCTAGCATATGATTTTGGTGGTAGCAGGGGGGTGGTTTCCACTGACACAAATCAAAGCCCCTAGAGTTGCTATACTCGCAGCCGCACCTCTTGCCAGCATAATTCTAGTGGCAGGTATTTGTTCTTATATTTCGATTTATAGTTTGACCATATGAGCAAATTTGGCTAGAAAAGTGTATACACAGAAGTTTCATTTAAATATTGACCCCACATATGTTTGTAAAAGCAGTATTTTACATCTAGTTAAAAAAGAAAATTGGGTTTAAAGAGACTGCTTTTGAGTATCTATTATACGCCATGCATATAAGTTAACTAGTGCAATAACACTAAGACTGTTCTGCTGAAGACTACCAATACCACCATAGTGATGGCACTAAGCATTTACAAAAGCAATATTCTCAAATCCATTTTCAAACTTGATACTTTGGCAGAGTCTTCACACACAGGGAAAATTGGTCAAAAATTCTTTAATGTCTGCAGTAAAAAAAACCCCAATGAATCAATCAAAATAAAGTTTCATAAAATTTTGACAAACGTATGCCTGTGACAAAATATTTTAGGCCTGTAAAGACTGAAGTCTTCCACTTATAATTTTAGTTTATTATGTCAAACATGCCAAGACTGTGAAGTCTACTTCAGCATAGCAGTTTTCCTCTCAAGCATCTTATTTCAGAACTAACACATCATCAGATGAGAACTTGTCTTTGATGTTCATTCACACTGCAGCAACTTGACACCTTCTACGAGTAGGGCAGGCTGAAAAAATGGAGTTTCAGTACATGGGGAATTCTAAGATTATACTCTCTTTTGCCTGAAATAAAAGCAGGACAGCAAGCAATATACTTGTTAAGTACTTTTGACTACTACATACCTTTCCTAAATAGCCACCTTTTATGTTTACATCTGTTTTTACATTTTACCTGAGCAGAGAAGGCAGTCCCTGATAGCACTGCCAAAGCACCAGACCTGCTTTCTTTTTAATCTATTGCTGCTCAGTCTCCAAATTTCCAATCACAAACCTTCAGCCTGAATCATAAACAGGTATAGAATTTATCCAAGATGCATCTAGTTCTTCTCACTATAACAGACTATGATGAGAGAGGGATAGGTAACTACATTACTTCACAGCCAAAAGCAAGGTTTCCAGCATCCTGATTTCCACTGGGATCACACACATCCAAGGTTAACATACTGTGGTGAAGCTACACTAAACCAAAGGAAGCAACAATAATACTCCTGAGAGCACAGAGCTCTATCAACGATTTTAAAAAATAAAAACGCGGACAAGAGTGCTAAGTTGCTATGGATGGCTGCCTTTTCGTTTTGCTAAGGGTAAAGATAGCAATCATTTGCTCCTTTTGCTGGTGATCACCATTACTCTTCTAGTTTGACTGGAGTATGTCCACACAGAAATAAAAGCAAACAAATACTTGCTCTATCTGTGCTTTCAGCTGAATGGATCCAAGCTAATTCCAGTTCAAAAATGATAGAGTGGTATTAGAACAATGATGAGCTGCTGCTTTTAAACCTTATTAGTCCTCAAATCTTTGCCTTATCAGCTGCAAAGCATTGACTAGAAGACACACACTCAGCTTTGATCTAGAAGCTGAAGGAAGCAGATGCTGAGACACCACTTCTTAAATGGTTTATTTCAATGACCAATACACAACTACAGTCTTGACTGGCAAACACAGGAAAAGTTTAGCATGCTGTTTTACCCTACAAAGTTCAAAGCAACTTAACTTAGTTCACGAGTTACCCAGTCAGTAGAACTCGTATCAGTTTGTAGGCTGTACGTAAATTGGATTTAACACCACACACAACAGTCACCAAATTTTACTGAATTACTAATCATAAACAGGTTCTGTAAGTCTGCAAGGAAGTATGGGCATCAAAACACAAGCTTCATATTTGAAAAGGCATTTGGTACAGAGGTACTGATGTGCATTTGTTACTACAATTGTCCCAAAAGTTCCCTTTTCCCAATCCTTTGGTTGTCTACAAACAATTAGTACACAACTCAGTTCTTGGAAACTGAAGAACAAAAAGCAATTACTGGTAGTAACAAATTCTAAAGGACAGCCACGTTTTCACACTGAAGTCAAATACAAAGTTTCATTAGCCAAAGTTCAAACTACTTCACGTTAAGAAACCAAACCATTTCAGCCTGACTGAAATAAATTTCAAGATTAATCCGATGTGTTTCAGATGAAACACTCAACTGTGGAAGAAGTGGGTTTGGAGGAGAGGAGACAGAACAAAAGTCTTGCTCCCTCTATATATTTACATATATACTTTACACACACATACAGAAGTATATATACATACAACTCTAACACATTTAAGGCAGAGGACGATGTCATGATAAATTGTCCTTAGGTGCTCTAGCTGCCAAAGCAGGAAACAGATGAAGTTTTTCTGAACAAACTCTAAAGGAAGACCAAAGGTTTTAGCTGGATGCCCGTGAAGCAGCAGAATGGAATTCCCTATCGAATTCTTGAAGGGTGTAGGTGGCAGCTTCCCCCTCCCCAAAACCAGGTGACACCCCTAGGGAAACAGCTCATTTTAGGCTTGGTTCTGAGCAGTAAGGAAGATCCAGTGGGGAAAAAAACCCACAAAACACACCAAACATTCAGGTAGAAGGTAATTAGGGTGACAGTAACCGTAAGTTTGTAATAATTATGAAATGGAAGGAATAAGCATGGCTAAACAGAGATAGCTAGTGGTTTCTGAGGTTTGGGGTTTTTTTTATAGAGTCTCCTGGGAAAGAGCATATAAGGGCTGTTACTGAAACAAAATCCCATACTAGCTCTAGAACCAGAAATCATACAGCAAGTTACCACGGCACTGTGCCCACACCTGCAAATCTCAGAGGCAAGACTTACCATAGGTGCAACACCAACACAGCTGTGCTGGTTTCAAGACCTAAGCTGACATCTCCAAGCAGCCAGAGGCATGTGGATTTATCAACAGGGGTCAGTACAGACTGTGTCTGCAACACACTTCACCACATGGCATAAACATGCTCTGTATAATAGGTACAGCTATAAGAGATTCAACTGCACAAACGACAGGACGCCTAGTAAGAGGCCAATCTGATTTCATCTGAGGCTTTTTTTAAGTGACCTGTAAATTAACGAGACCTTAAAAAACTGGGTGCAAAGCGATTACTAAAGTAAACCAGCGATCCAGTCAACCACTAGCAACACGGGATGTACACAAGAACTTCCATTAGAACTGGAACACGTCATCCAGAGTATAATCTAGTAGAAACCCTCACAAACTCAAACACATTATGTCTAAATGAGGATGCTTCCATAGTTGATTTAATAACACAAGTTTAATACCAAATTACACAAGTATGCATGTAATAGTATTTTAAAACAGAACAGCCCAAGTTGCAGATTTTGACTTTAAACAAGCTCTCAGCTAGCAAAATACCACATCCAGTTCTGTTGTCTGTGCTTCAAGAACATCACCATACCAGAGTATTTGTAAGAGGATCATATAAACAATAAAACAGCTATGTGAGTTCAGGAAACAGCTTACTTGGCAAACAAAAGCTAAGGAGAATGCAAGAAGTAATAATTAAAACAAACAAACAAAAAAATTAAAATTGAAGACTTTTAGAACTTGCCGACAAAAATTTTGGGGGCTAAAATCATAGATTTGATTTTGAAATAAGAATATCCTAGTCAAAGAACTCTCAGCAATCTGCGTAAATTTAAATGGATGAAAGCGTAGTTTTCAGAATCACAATTAAAAAGAAATTCCTTAGTCTGTGGAAGCCAAAGGAAGAATCATCTGAATAACCATGGCAGCCTGTTAGCCTTGCTATCTTACACTCACTGACATCATCAGGGACACTAGAGAGAACACAATTCGAGACCATGGTCCTAACACTTGCAGCATCAGGCACTGGCCATACCCAAGACAGGCCACAGTGGAATAAAGAAGTGCTCCAAGGTGATACAGAAAATCCCCTTTACAAACGTTCCGTTTCTGCATCTCTCACATGGACAGCAAAGGAGCTGCGTTTTTCAAACTCAGGAAATAATTTTCCCTATAGGGCTCCTTGTTTGCTTGTTATGTGTTTGTTCTTCCAAGGCGTGAACCGTCTGCTTTGACTAAAGGCATTCCTCATTACACCCTCTGCTACTCCTCTCTATTTAAAGAGATACTTGCTAAGATACTGTTTTGTTCTAGCCCAAAATCTAGGCTTAATGTAAAGATACCTGAAATTAGTGACTTGAAATATAAACAAGAGGTCCAACTAACAACTATCCAGCAAATCCCAATTCTTAATCTCTATAATGAACAAAAATAAGTAAGAGTCTTTTCAATTCCAGTAAGCCCAAATCTTCTGTAACAAATTTCTGGCAAATGTCACTTCAGTTTCTCAGTTTAATTATCTCATATACAGGACTTTTTGTGGTATAGATTTCATTTCTGGTCACGCTACCAAAAAAATCATTATGCTTAAAAGACATACATCAGAACAAACTTACATGAACATAAAGCTCTTTATACCTGAACCATTGAGAAAAATATTTGCACCTTCTGAGTTATTAAAAAAAAAATCCAGACTTGAATAAACAGGCTACGCGTACAATAATCCTCACACAATTGCAAAGTAAATCAACAAAGTCAAAACCAAGCACGTTGCCAAGATAGTCTGTGCCCAAGATAGCACTGTGTTCCCACTAGTGCTAGAGTAGCAATTATTGTAATCAAGGTTAAGGATTTTATAGTACAGTGTGAGAGATTCAGAGAAAAATGATAAATAGTAGGATGAAACTGTTTCCAAATCCGCATTCCTGCTTTCACTCAAGGCTTGATTAAGACTCCCAGTAATCTGTGTCCATACTACAGCTTTTGATAAAGACTACTTTAAGTTCCATGTGGAAGGATGCACTATTGGGCTTAAATGACATTTCCACGCCTGTCCACTTCAAATTGAAGTATTGACTTAGAGACTGAAATACCACCATAAAACAACTCTATCAAGCATGAAGCATGATGGAGATACTACTACTGTTGTCCGTTCTCTACCTGTACACCATACATCGGTACTAAAGTTACTTTGCATTTCTGCTTATATTTTACTACAGATTTTGCAGTAGCAATTCAGTCCAGTCCCTCCTGGTTTTTCCACCTTTGTGAATTTATATGCTACATAAAGTACCACTCGTCTATACCAGGATGTGTTAATTCCCGTTTCTCACTCAGAGACAGGGATGCTTGGTGCAGCGCTGGGTTTTGCCGCCCAGCTATCATCTTACAAACGAAGCCACATTCCCGGACAAAGGATCTCTGCGGCAAGCGGCAGGCACGACACGGTTACGACCCCTGGGTTCTGTAACTCGCACCAAGGGCGGGCTTCTTCCTCAGCAAAGAGCCGAGCAGCACGGCCGGCAAGACACCCGTTTCAAACGGCGTTCCTCCATAACGCGCCGAGTCGCGCCCCCGAGCAGGAGCGCCTCCCCCCTGAGCCGCTGGGATCCGGCTGAGGGGACGGCGGAGCCGGTCGCTACCCACGAGAGCGCTCCCGGCCGGGGGAAGCCTTCCAGCAGCCCCCAACGCGCTGCC